AGCAGGCCAAGCAGCATCATAGGAGCAGGAAGCTGACGTTTCGGGCCTAGACCCTTCATCAGATGAAGGTTCTAGGCCCAAAACATCAACCTTCCTGCTCCTATGATGCTGCTTGGCCTGCTGTGTTCATCCAGCTCTACACCTTTGTCAGAAAAACCTATCTGGTTTACTTATGTCCTTTTAGAGAAGGAAATTGCCATCTTTACCTGGCTTACATGAGACTTCAGTCCCGCAGCAACGTTATTGACTGTTAACTGCCCGATGGGCAATAAATGCTGGGCAAGTTAGTGATGCCTTCCTCCCATGAATGAATTTAAAAAAATTCAACTAGGGAATGAGACTAGACAGGTGATCAAAGTTTCAGTGGGGGAGCATTTAGGGAACAGTGATTATAATTCAGTAAATTTTATAATGGAGTTGTGGATAGTGAGGAGGGGGATAACAAAGGATGTAGCAGGACATAAATCAGCTAGAAAGTTGTGTGGACAAAATGATAGATTAGTTTAATCTGAACAAGTGAGGTGATACATTTGACCTCGTAAAATGCAAGAGGAAAGTATATGGCCAGCCCCTTGAGATCATTGATATATGGTGAGATCTTGGACTCCAAGCCCATCACTCCCTGAAAGTAGTGATGAGAGTAGATAAGGTGGTAAAGTAGGCATACGACATGCTTGCCTTTATCAGTCAGTGCATTGAGTATACGAGTTGGCAAGGCATGTTGCAGTTGTATAAGACTCTGGTCAGGCCACATTTGGTGTACTGTGCACAGTTCTGATTGCCACACTATAGGATGATATGGAGGCTTTGGAGAGAATGCAGAAGAGGTTCACCAAGTTATTGGTGAACCGGAGATTGGACAGACTTGGATTGCTCTTGTTAGAGCGTTGGATGCTGACGGGTCCTGATGACTATGTAAAATTATAAAAAATGTGGTGGATAGTTGGTCTCTTTCCCAAGTAGAAATGTCAAATGTGAGAGGAATAGGTTTAAGGTGAGAGGGCAAGTTTAATGGAGATTTGAATAAATTTGTTTGAGGGGTGTAGATGCCTGTAATATACTGCCAGGGGAGGTGGTAGAAGCAGATAGCAAAGTTTGAGGCATTTAGACACTTAAATTTCCAGAAGGCAATTAATGAAGTGCCACACGTAGAAAATAAAATCTCATGATCAAGAGGGTAACAAATTGGTTAATGCACAAAGTAGGTATAACTGCATTTTCTCAAGATGGCAAGATTATAACAAGTGGTATGCACAAGAGATTGATGCTGGGACCTGGTATGATGGCCCAAACTTCTGACCAGCTAAAAATAGCAAGGCAAACAAGTTGTGCAGAGGATATTGAAGGCTACAAAAAGACATAGTTTGTGAGTGGGCATAGATATGGCAAATTGTGTATAATGTGGGAAATGTGATGTAATGACAAATTAATTTTTTTTTAAAATGGATGGTGCTATGATGGTTCTGGGCTGCCTTGTTGAACACAACATGGTTGAATCCAGGCATAATTGTCACCAATAAATAGATTTTTAAATACAATGCTTTTTACAAAATACATTATGAAAAAATAGTGTGGGCTAAACTGAGGCTTTGTTGTGTTGACTTATAACTCAGAATGAAACTTATTTCTACAGTCTTTACTCAACATTCAACAGTGTGAATTTGAAGTTGTTACTGCGTGTCTACTGTTATGCTGAGAAAATTACAGTTTGAGCTGCAGAACTTTGTTCGTTTGTAATAATTATTTTTTCTCCCTGTTCTGATCCACAGCAATGGTCTGCATTCCTTGCATAGTCATTCCAGTCTTGTTGTGGGTTTACAAGAAGTTCTTGGAGCCTATCTTGTATCCTTTCATTTCTCCATTTATCTCCCGTCTATGGTCTAAGCGAGTGGTGAAAGAGGAAATCGCTACACCAAAAACTGGAGCTTGTAATGGAACAGTACAGGTAATACAATAGCAGCTTTCACTTTTATTATAGGAATTAGATTTCTTTGCTTTCTGAACTCATTGTTGTTGATTTAAGGATGGAGAGTTTTTTAATTGCCAAATCATTCTCAGTACTAGTCCACAGTGGCTCAGTGTTTAGCATTGCTGCCAGGGACCCACATTCAATTCCACTCTTGAGTGACTGTGCAAACTCCACACATTCTCCCCGTGGGTGTTCTGCTTTCCTCCTACAGTCCAAAGATGTGCAGGTTAGGTGACTTAGCCATCCTAAACTTCCCATAGTGACCAGGAATGTGCAGGCTAGGTGGATTAACCATCGAAAATGCAGGGGTTCAGGGGTTGAGTCTGGGTGGACTTAATGGGCCGAATGGCCAGCTCCCACTCCATAGGGCTCCTATGGTAACGTCCAGATATGTGAGAGAAATTTCAAAGATTTCTCTACTTTCCAAGCCCTAGGACAAATTCCCAGTCCAGCTATCACCAGAAAATTAAAGAAAGGAGATGGACAAATTCCGTTGTACCCTGACCCCCCTTCAGGAATAGTTTCGTGTAATTTGAGTGGTAACCAAGTTGCACTTAGTTTTTAGATTTTAAAGTCTTGTTGTGGGGACTGAGTGAAAACAACATGGCAAATTCCTCTAATTTGTTGTTAAACTATGAGTTGATAGTTATATTTTCAAGCTGTTTTAAATAGAAACGATAAATTTTGAAAAGGTGCATTAACCTCTCATTCAACCAGTTTTTCCTTCCTTCCTTCCTTCCTTCCTGGTTTTTAGTGATATTGACTACTTTAAAGATGCACTAATTGACAAATGTTGTTGGCTGCTTTGTGTGGGGGGTACATCTTTACTAAATCCGGTTCTGTCTTCAGTACCTTTTGTGTCAATTTTCTTTGAACCAAAACTGCTTAATTCTGAGCAGGCTGATCCACTTCAGGCACCTTCCTCTATTTGACTCAGCTAATTGGGATGAATGTTACAGGTGTACATGTCCTTTCTTTCAAAGTGACCATGCTGGCTACAATGGACATGTCAGTTTTGGATCAGAATTCAATTACAATCAAAAAGGTATTAAGTCTACACTCTTAAAAATTGACAACTTCATTGCTGTCCTGCTTCATGTCACATTGTGCTAACTTGGATTTTTTTTCCAAAACTCACTTTTCTGTTATGATTGTTACAGGAGAGAAAGAACAAATGTAAGAAAGTGAAGGCATGTGAGATGAGAGCACAGAAACTGCTAACTGTAGAGTTTTAGCACAGATATCCACAGTGCTGCACAGACCACTGAATGAAATCGTTAACCAGCTGGTATTAATAAAGGAAGCAAGTACTTCTCTGCAGTGCTTATAGTGGTTTTATTTATAGTACAGGACAGGAGGGATGTATATATTCAAACAAAGTTAAACTCTCCATTGTTCACTCCAAAGCAGATTTTACCTCACTTATGAAATTCCACATGTGGCACCATTTTGGAATTCTCCTCTTCCAATTACAATTTACTATATTGTTCTCAGATTTTAATACCAGTACTTAACAGGTATCATTTTGAAGATATTTTGAGAAGTTGAAATGCTTGCTGAACTAGGAGCAAGATATGAGTTCAAATTCTTTTCTAACCTAACATTTTATTAAAATATTAATCCAAGACTGCCAGATGTACCTGCAAATTGCCATTCTGCAAGTGGCATTGTAGATTTCTGAACAGAAGAGTTCTTGTATATGTTCCTATATTTTCTGCTTCCGTCTGATGTACCAGTTTCTTCTCCTGCCATCTTGACTTAAAGCCAAAGCCATACATTACCGATCTGCCTGTTTCTCTATGCATGTATTTGATTGGATAAAATGAATTTTTGATCTTTTTGTGTATTGAGCTTGCGGTGATTGTTTTAGCACACATCACTGTCAAATCTCCTAGTTTGTGATTCCACAGCATCACCCATAGTCCCAGCCTCAGCAGCAGTGAGATTCTGTGCGTGCATGTTGAGAAGAGACAGCTCGTTAACAGTCTTGTAAAAACATTAGTCAGTGATTGGGGTGCCTTCCATTTGTGTGTTTCAAATAGTGAGGGGTCTTCAAAAGTAGTTATTTTTAATGTTCATAGGATTTTTATCTTTGATCACAGTTCAGTAAAAGTTTTTCTATCCTGTTTAAAACATGATCCCGTCTTCCACTTGCCATGCAAAGTCTTGACAATTGGGCAGCTGTTTTGTGACCAGCTGCTGAAATCTACACGAGGAGAATTTATCAATTTTCTCTTATTGTACTTAACAATAAGTACAGTGTTCAGACCTGTACTGATTTTTTTCTTTGTGGATTTTCTCAATTGTTTCCACGTAAAAACTGACTTTTAGCATTACACGTATTTTACTCATGTTTTTGGCTACAATTTCACTTTATAAACTTTTTTTTTTGCTTAAATCTGCATTGAGTGTCCACTAACCAGTCTGTATTAATTAATGTGCTTGCAGGGGTAGTGCCCTTGCAGTGGGTGATGTATATCAGGGTATCTTGTTCATTATTGGGTTTAGGTTTGTTTAGTTCGTCAAGTCTCCTGAATACTGAGCTAAATTGTGATAGTCCTTTTTCATTGACAGTCAAGTTCTGACAAAGGGTTTCAGCCTGAAACGTTGACTTCCCTTGTCCTTGGATGCTGTCTGACCTGCTGTGCTCTTCCAGCTCCATGCTTATTGACTCTAGCTTCCAGCATGTGCAGTCCTTACTGTTTCAGAGTCTAACGAGCAAACTCAAGAAGGCAGTGGCTACTGTAAGGCAGACAGGGGATGGTGTTAATTCAGTTGTCAATCTTCAGATGTCTCACTTCACACAACATAGCTTCATGAGTAAATCTGAATGCCACATTGTCTTTTGCATCACTGAAAATAGCAAGGCGATTGAGAATTTAAAGTTGAAGTTAAGCGTAGTAATTATAGCCAGTTTTGGTAGTCTGGGCAAAGTTACTTCAGTGGTTTGGGGTTTCGAACAGTACCTGCAGAGTCATGACCCTTCACATTGACTTCCCCTCCTGAAACCTAAGTTCTCTGGAAAGAGGAAAGATAATACAACTGTACCTTTAATTTCTCAGTTGCTGATTTGTTTTGTCTTTTTCTTTAGTCTGAATATGCAGCTATGAATGGGGAATGGAATTGCATTGACAAAGCTACAAATGACATCACCACAGAAGGACCAGCAGATGTTTCAGACAAAAAGACTGATTAAGACCTCAAGCAAGAAATGACCTTGCATGCTATGTCCTGAAAGTAGTATTTTAAATGAAATGGATGTAGATTTATTAACCATTTGAAATTTAGTGTCCAATAATATCTTGTCACTCTTTTTGTATTGCACTGTATAATGCTGTTTAGTGGTTTTCTTTAATGCTGTGATATGATTCCCATTTCTGTGATGGACAAATTATTCCATTTGAATTTCATGATATTTAAATTCTTTGATAGAGGAGTTATTGTGTTAATGCATATATTCCTTAGCTGACACCGTAGATGACAAAAAGGGAAATATATTCTGGTTAAATCAGAGGAAAAAGCAAGCTCACCTTGTATCCACTGTTGACAGCAAACCAAGACAAGTGAACCAGTAGATCTTTGCTTCAATCCCCTGCTCGCTGCTGATTTAAGGAAATGTAGTTGACTTTGCCCCTCGGAATGATGTATCATCTTTAACATAGTGAAATATCCTAAGGTGATCAAAGACTAATCTTGATGATTTGAGCGAGGAACAATCTACCTACCTGCTTATTTGTATCCCATTGCCTGTTATAATTAATTACATGAGTAAAGGTGAAAGGTTTCAGTGAACCACCATCATATCTGCATGGATTATGAGAGGGTAGGATTAACTTTGTCATTGGCATTTGAGTAACTTTCAGATTGATATATTTTATCAAGTTAGTGAAGGATATGTGGTTGGCTAGAATCACAGCTGATGGATTGTTTATAGCTCCAAAAAATGCCATCAAAGGAGCTACTGAATGGTATTTCCAAATGAGGAAATGTGCGGGGTGCTGCTCTTGAGACTATGTTAGGAGAGTCATTGTTGTAAAAAAATTTTTTTTTAAAAATTCTTATAGCCCATAGTAGCATTAAGCTATGTTCACAGTAATATTTGAGATTTAGTACCTGCCCTATAATAATTTTAGCTGAAGAAGAAATTAAACTGATACAAGTAATCTCCCTGAGCAGGGACAAATAGCTGAGAATTTCCCTTCTGCTGTCTATTATCAGTCACAAATGGACTTTAATTTGAGTGTTTTTCAAAGGTAACTAGTTTGACACTCTGTGCATGAAGAATGGCAAAATAAAAACTTAAATGCAGGGGGTAATACTTTCAGAGGGGAAATGATCAGACTTTGGTAGTATAGCTGCCAGCTAGACTTGCAGACCATGTTGTGCTGTATATAAACAAAATTCTCAATCCGCAATGAAGTTCAAGAGAAAACTACATTTTTCTTTTTGATCGAAAATAGTTTTGTCAATGTCCTATCCCACCATCTCCTTTTAGATCACCTCCATCAGTACACTTGCAACAGCTAAGAGCTGGGAGAATGACCTAAAAATGTCCCTTTTGCTGAGCAGCATACTGCAGTGGGTTGAAACATGTTAGGCTTGCTTCTGAGGTATAGAAGTAGCTGTTCTTCATCATTTTTCAGGGTCCATTTAATGTGATAATACTACTTTATAAATTTCACTTCCCCCATGTTTTATCGCTAGTGTTGTCAAGGACCTAAAGTGCTTGTCCCAGTCTTGCATACCAGTTGTGGAGCAGTCTTGGGAAAATTCTGGCATTAACAGTTCACCTCAAAATGATGCAGGAGACTGAAAGAAGGAGGGATGGAAATTAATTCTATTGCATACTGTTTGTAATGCAAGTATAATTTGAGGGAACAATGGTTAAAATTGGTGCAAAAATAATTTGAAAATATTTTCACAAAATAAAAGTTGTACATGATTTTCTTTTTAAGGCCTAACAACTCCACTGGTTTTGCTACATGTTTCAAACTATTTTGCCTCAGTCAGATTTGTGACTTTATTGCTTTGCTCCTATAACCCCTTTAAATTGTGCTGTACTATTTCTAATTTCTCAAATCTGAATGACATGTTTCAAAATATTTCAAAGTTTTAAATATCTAAATCATTGAAAAAAATTAATAGTCACAATTTTACAGCAGCTATGACTGGGATAATTGAATGTCAAAATTTAAAAGCTATCTATGATGTGACTGCCCCTACTAATTCAGCAAAAATAGTAGCTTGCTATTTGCTTGGCTATTGAAAGTCCACTTAATTGAGTCATGTTCCTGTATTTGTTCAGTAGATACAAACTAAAGTTGTGGCAGTATTAAGTCTTGTCCATTTCAGTCTAAATATCTCTTTTTCCATTCAAGGAATGTGGATGTTGCTGACTAAGCCATCACTTATTGCTCATTCTTAACTGCCTTAAGAGGTAAGTGTTTAAGAGTCAACCACATTGATAGCAAGGCCTAGAGTCACATGTAGGTCAGACCAGGTTAGGATAACAGATTTCTTTTCCTAAAGGACATTAGGGAACCAGATGGGCTTTTAGCAACAATCAACCTAATGATGATTGTGCAACTGTTGTTAGCTTTTTCTTCTAGATTTTGTTTATTGAATTCAAATGTCACTATCTACCGTGGTGAGATTCAAACCCTTGTGTTCTAACTACAAGCTTTGAGTTCAGAATTATTAGTTATTATGCCATCCATTTCAATACTATGAATGACTGATTTATTTAGTAGGCAATTAATTGTTTTATTAGAAAATGTTAATTTCAGTTTCTTTGCTAAAAGGAGACAAGAAGTTGAAGCTTCTCAACTTGCACTCATTAAAACTTGCATTCCAGAAACAAACCTGAAAAAAGTTACACCTTCATCTCAATGAATGTAAGGCACAATGTGGTGTAAAACTCCTTTTCTGTTGTCTTTACCTTGGTGCCCATTTCTTTGGACACGAGTCCTCTTCCTGTCTCAGATTTCTTCACCAGCCTCCAGCACTCCATCTTTACCTGGACCCCTTTCTGTGGTCTATTTTCTGCACTTGACCTGTTCATTGAGAGCTATTAATATGACATCTTTCACCTTTAATTTCTCTCTGCTCCCCTCACCATTCTAATCTCACACATGCTTTCACTCTGAACTTGCTGCTGTCCGATCAAATCCATCGACAAGGGTGGTGCTATTATTGTCTGGCATACTAACCTGTACCTTGTGGAAGCCGAGTGTCAGTTCTCGGACACTGCTTATCTCCCCACTAGACAATGACCCCACCATCGAACATCAGGCTATTGTGTCCACAACTGTCACGAACCTCATCTCATTTGGGAATCTTTCTCTCAACCCCTCTTCCTCCCCCAACTCCACATTGCTTCCCATCCCATAATCCCCCAATCCTATGCAGTCTGCTTCTACCTTCTTCCCAAAATCATCAAAACTGCTGATGCAGACCCATAGTTTGTCTGTTCATGCCCCAAGGAACTTTGTTTCTTCCTATTTCAAATTGATTTTTGTCATCCACTGTCCATTTCCTTTCACTTCCACAATTTGTCTGACTCTATGTTGGTTTCAGAATTTCTGCTTTGCTGCCACCAGCTACTTCGTCCACTGTGGACATGCAGTCCTTCTACATGTCCATCCCCCACATCAGAATAGTCCTCCAAGGGTTCTCTGCTTCTTTCCTGGGTGAAGACCTGAACTGTTCCCATCGTCTGCTGCTACCCTTTGCCTGGCTAAGCTCATCCTCACTTTGAACAACTTTACTTTTAGCTCCTGTTACTTTCTTCAAGTCAGCTGTGTGGCCAATGGGTACCCACATTGGTCCCAGTTACGCTTTTCTCTTTGAGTTGCATGTAACATTCTTTGTTCCAGTCTTACTCCTATTTACTGCTCACCAATGTGGTCCCTGTACACTGGCGAGTCCAAATGCAGAATTGATTACTGCCTTGCTGAACACCTATGCTCTGTCTGTAAGAAGAATTTTGACCTTAAAGTTGCCTGCCACTTCACACCACTGATTTCCCATGCCCTCTGTTTTTAAACCTCTTTATGTCCCTAGGTCCTGTACTGTATGGGTTTGCTTCCAGTATAGCCAACCTATTTTTGACCATTTACACTTGTTATCACCATACCCAGCACTTTATTTTCCTCCTTGCTTATCACCATCAATGCTTTTGGTTGCCTATCTGTTTTCTCCTGTTATTGTGCATTCGCACTCTTCTATTTACTGGCCAAGTAGATTCTGATTGGTCATCACGTTTCCATAGAAATGCAGCAGAGTTTGGCACCTTTTCAAAAAGGAATCATGTAAGGTGTAAATTTATTTTGCCTGCATAAAATAGTCATGTGTTTTTATATTTGTAGCTTCTAGCAAATGCATCACACTGAGAGCCAGGCTGATGACATTAAATTGGTTTTCATTGTAACTCTTAGCATAGTCCTAATTATTTAATGAATGATTTTCCATAGCAACAATGACCATTTTTTTAAAAAACCAGTATTTATTGTCCATGTCCATACCTAGTTGCCCTTGAGAAGGTCATGGTGAGCTATTCCCTTGAACTACTGCAATCCATTTGGTGCAGATAAATGCACCATGTCACTGGGGAGGAGTTCCAGGATTTTGACACTGAAGGAGCGGCAATATATTTCCATGTGAGGATACTGAGTCTTGAAGTGAAACATGCAGGTGGTGGTGTTCCCACGTGTCTGGTACCCTTGACCTTTCTAGATGGTAGTGGTCACTGGTTTTGGAATGTGCTATCTTGAAAACCTTGGTGAATTTCTGCATTACATCTTTAGGATGGTACATTGCTTCTTTTGAGGGATTGTTTCTGGATGTGGTGCCATTCAATCAAGTGGGTCACTTTGTCTTGGATGATGTCATGTCTTGAGTGTTTTCGAGCCAGCTTATCCAGGCAAGTGGACAATATTCCATCATTCTTCTGACTTGTCTTATAGAATGTGGACAGGGTTTTGTAACCATAGTCCTTGCATAGCTAGTTCTGTTCATTTCAGGTAATGCCCTTGGTGTTGATGGTGGGGATTTGGTGATGTTTTTGCCATTGAATGTCAAGGAAAAATGGTTAGATTCTCTTGTTGGAGATGGTCATTTTCCCCCATGTAAGTGTCAGGCGATGTTCCTTTGGAATTTGACAGCCCATGCCTGAATATTGTCCAGATCTTGCTGTGTTTTGGACAGGGATGCTTCAGTATCTGAGAATTCTGAATGATGTTGAACATTGTACAATCATAAGCAAACATCCCCTCTTGTGGCCCTATAATGGAAGGAAGGTCATTATTGAAGCAGCTGAAGATAGTTGAGTCTAGATACTCCCCTGAGGAAGACCTGCAGAGTGATCCGAGAGATGAGGTGACTGACTTCCAACAGCCGTAACTCCTGTGTCCGGTAGGCTTGGAGCGTTTTTCCCTTGATTACCATGGACTAGTTTGGCTGGGGCTCCTTGATGCCACACTGTCAAATGTGGCCTTGACTTCAAGGGCAGTCACTCTTTGTAGAATTCAGAAATTTAGTCCGTATTTGCACAAAGGCTATTAGGAGGTTACGAGCTGGCTTCTGAAGAAGGGTCACTGGGCCCAAAACATTAACTTTTTTTTTCTGTCTACAGATGCTGCCAATTCTGAGCTTTACAGCAGTTTCACATTTTGATGTTTCAGATCTCCAGCATCCACAGGTCTTTGTTTTATTATTATGGAGAATATTGAGCTGTTATTAACTTCTGTGATGTGGCTGCAGACTGAAATATTGTGAACACATCATCTACGTTATCAGAAGTATGCAAGGAGCAGAGGATTAGAGCAATGAAGATGGCCTTCCTATATTGACATTAGCTGATGGAGTTCAGTTGAATTGCAGAGACACAATGTACGATCATACAGGGGCAAGGTATCATCCCCTTTCAGGTTTATGTTAAGGCTGTTATGTCAAAATAGTCATTTGTATTAAATTATTAGACTGTGATAATGCTTAAATTTTAGTGTCCATATATTGGTCACAATTTGCTTCTGTTACATCTTTGCAGGAGGTGATAGGGTAGTGGTAAAGTCACTGATAATCCAAATCCTCAGGGTATTGTACTAGGTTTGAATCCCATCATGGCAGATGGTGAAATTTGAATTTGATAACATTCTGGTCTAAAAGGCTAGCCTAATGGTGACCATGACTTTTGTTGTAAAAAGAAAAAAAATCCATCTGGTTCACTAATATCCTTACTTGATCTGCCTACTTCTGACTCCAGACCCATAGTAATGTGGTTGACTCATCTGCCCTCTAGGCAATTAGGGGCGGGTGATAAATGATGGCTATCTTGGATGATAACACCCTGATCAAATACTTCAAAGCTTCAACTTCTAGTCATCTTTCAGTATTGTTTTAAGTTCTGTGCCAACAAACGTTTATTTAAAATCTTGTTGTAGCATTCATTTTAATATGATCTCTGGGAATTCAAATCTCTTGCTTAAAGTTATCATTCTATATGCATAACAATGTACCACTGTCGGATAAAGGGGTTAACTTGTTCAATATGGATAGCCTATTTGATTGGCACCTACTCCCTGCACCACCAATACTCCCTAATAGCAGTGTCTACTACCTACAAGATTCAATGCAGAAATTCACCAAGGATCCTTAGACAGGCCCTTCAAAATCTATGACCACTTCCATCGAAGAGGACAAGAGCAGCAGATACTTGGGAACACCACCACCTGCAAGTTCTTGTCCAAGCCACTCACCCATCCTGCTTTGAAAATATATTACTGTTCCTTCAGTATTGCTGGGCCAGAATCCTGGTATTCTCTCCATAAAGCCTTTGTGGTCAACCTACAGCATGTGGATGGCAGAAGTTCAAGAAGGCTGCTCACTACCACCTTCTCTAGGGCAACTAGGGATAGGTAATAAATGCTGGCCAGCCATTGACACCCACATCCTACA